AAAAAATATCAACAACCAGTTCCTGTAGCGAAACCTAGACTACTGTTTGTCTCATTACCCTCAACCATGCACTGTTTGCTGCATCTTTTTTATGTAAATTTTTACTTTTTCCTTTTCTTTGTGAATTGTAAAAAGATTTTAGTATAATTTATTTCATTTTTTGATGAAAATTATTTTTGTTTCTTTTTATACATTGTATAAATTATGTTTCTCATACAGATTTCTGTAAGAAAGGAGAGTGGGCAGAAGCTTTTTTGTTATTTTCAGTTGAATACTTTTTTCACTATTACCCTCCATTTGGGATAAGTTTTAGTTCTTCAGACAAATATCAATAAATGAAACCTCTGATTAGATAGCCTGTGTAGCTGCTGGAATAATTGTTTTTGTGCGTGCAAGTGTTTTGGCTTTGCCGAAAGAAGCAAGAGCGAAAGGTGCATGGATATTCAAAGCGTGTCCTCTCCATTCTCTAAATGGCTTTGCAGTTCCTCTACCAAAACTTAGCTCGTGTTAAGTAACAACCCTTTCAGCTACGATAAAACACAGATCTGGTTATTTTGATACGTTTTAAACAAAATGTGATGACCATTGTACAATATATCTCAATAGACAGGGTGCATTAGAACTGACATCAATGGGAATCAGTATACAATAAACGGTTCATTTTATAAAAGTAACGCCTGTTAGTCTGACATGCAGAAATGTATCTCCCAAGAAGAATGTAGAATAATAATTGATGTAGGTGTTGAAAGTAATAATAGATGGTTTTTGTTTGTTCCAACTTTTCCAATAACAAATAATAAAAAAGAAGAGGGGGAAGCAAGAAATGAAGCAAGCAGGGATCACAATGATTTGCTTTTCCCTTGGCCTCATAACTCAATTTCTCTCAAATGTATGTTAAAGTTTCTTTATAATTTGGAAACGTCTATAATGATTTGCATTGTGTTGTATTTTATAATATAACCAAGATAGCACTCGTGCTTTGATTGGCTGAGAGGCATGATTGCACAAGAGTATGTAAACACAGTTGTGACCTCAAGATTCTTTCCTGTGAGTGACGAGTTTACCTCTTTTACTTATTTCCTTGACTGCAAGACGCGGAAAATATTTACAATCATGCTGGACTAAAGGTTTTTTTCTAAGTAAGTTGGCATTCTAAGCGAGTAAAATCAATATGGTTTGAAATTGTTTTTCAACAAAAACAGACTTGATTATTGTGTACCATACTTAGCAACTTTTGTTTAATTCCACTCGCTAATAATTGTCATGCAAGCACAAACAAATTTCAAAATATTAGGTTTTGTACTCGCTGAAAACTCAAGAAGTTTACCTTATTTAACAATTCCTCATATCAGGAGTTTACATAACTCTCTTGAATTCTCCCAATGCTCCCTCGCACTTCCATCAGGCTATGCAAACACAGAGAACGTGTACAGAGTTTTTTTCTTTTTAAATCAATTCGAGAGTGGGCGGCGTCTTCTTTTATATAAGATAATTTCATAGCATCTAAACTAGTTGTTTGAGGATAAGCATTTTTATCTTTACAAAGATTATCGAGAAACCTCCTGAAGCGACGACAACTAGAAGCAGCGAAGAAGAAATCTCAGACAAACCTAACTTTCAGTGACATGTCATGGGCTTTGATCACTTTCATATTTGCATTCATATAGCGATAAAGTACGGAAGGGGAAGAAAAAACTTGAACCCCGGTTTTTGTGGGAAATATCGTTGTAGACATTGACGGCTTGGCAAGAGTGATTAAGCCTTTAATTTTGAGACTAAGGGCCTCTTTATATGAGCCCAGTTGACCGGGCTGGCTCGGTTACCCAGATGAATTTTGAAATTTTGTCCTAGGGACGAGTTCTGGCGCCAAATTCGGGAAACAAAGCAAACATGGCGAAACACAATTTTTTTTACTTTCGGCCTATCTTAGCATCGGTAACTCCTAAAGCTGTATCACTGCAGTTAAATGGCATGCTTAAGATGTGGAAAATACAGCAGGCAACGCAGGACGATGCCATCCGGACCGCCAGAATTCATCCAGCCGTTCATCCCGGTAACCGGGATAAAGTGTTCATATGGCAAAATTTTCAGCCCACTTACCGAGATCTCGGGAACCAAGCCAGCCCGCCCTCTCATATGAACACATCGAAAATTTTACAAAGGATTTAGAGGTGAGGCGAGATCTCGGAAACAGGGCCAGCCCGGTCAACCGGGCTCATATGAAGAGGCCCTAAAAAGGAAGGCTTCGACTAGCCTGGATCTTTTTTTTGGATCGGATGGACTGGAAGGCTCAGAGAATGATCAATAACTAAACCCGGCACTGTCATCTTTTTATTTCGGAGTGGAAACATTAACCTTTCTGGTGTGACCTTGTCTTTTAAAGAGCTAAAAAGGCGCAAAATTTCATTACTTTATATGTGGCTTAATGTTTTCCTAGTCGTGTCAATAAACACCGCTGTTATCGCTAGCGAGCCAAACATTACGTCCTGTACATACTATAATAAATATTTTTTTGAGGGGGGCCTCTAGTCACCTGAGGGTGGTTTTTAGAAGGGTACTCTAAAAAAAAGGTCAAGCTATATGAAAAGAACACTAAGATACGGTTACAAACTAACACTACAAGAAAGATTTGAAAATTGAACCAACATTACAAATACTAACTACGATTCAAAATGATTTAACAAAAAACTGTTGCAGTTGTGTTTAAACTGCGTTTATACTGCGGCGCAATACTCGCAGGGAGTGGACCACATAGAGAACAGTCTCATAACTGAAGTAATTTTTAAATTGAAAAGATATGTTTTATCTCGCACAAAATTATTGTAAACCATTAGTGTGAATGGAATCTGCTAAGGACAAGATATTTACTCTGAACAAATATTGTGCTTTACACACTTTTGCACAAAAAAACTTTGCAAATAAAAGGATATATGAAATTAACTTAAAAGACAAATTATCAAACAAAATGGACAAAACAAACGCAGTGGGACAAAATACGTCATTTCTCTATTTGGAAGGGGTTTGGAAGCGACAAGTAAACTTGTAAAGAAAAGTTACTACAAAGACTGGCATTCCTCAGTTATCTCAAAATCTAACAAAATCCTTTTTGAAAACAATTTTTCCGAGTCTTCAGTGATGTGACTAGAACGTGATGTATAGCTGATTCGAGAAAGGTTGTCACGTGCAAAGATGAATTCGAGACATTAGTGAATGTCATTAGTGAATATTATTATATCCTTATGTTTCGTCGTCCTTGCAAACTTTGAACACACCTATTTGATCACACCTATTTTGAGTTGGACCTCCCTCAATTTTTCAAATGTAGGCGACGTTTCTTGGAGTTGAATTCCTAAGGAATTTATCCATGTTCAAAAACCGAGTCGTCGTATGACCAAGCACTCCAAAAACCGGTTTCAAGTCGTAGTCGTGCAATGTCTATGTCAAAGAAATGCCGGCAAGCGAGATGCATGTGCAGAGCCGTAAGGTTTGCTGATAAAAACAATTGCTTTTTGACGTTGCTGTTGTCGTTATCTTCGTGGTTGTAGTTTTAATTAGAACTATGTGAAATTAAGCTACATATACAAAAACTCTACAAATAAGAGTTCTTTCAACAAGAATATCACTTAAAAGCACTGATCACGCAATACAAACTAAGAGCGATAAGCTAAGAAGCCCCATGAACCCTTAAAGGGGAATTTCTGTTGTTAAGCTAATATCCCTACTGTTCTTTCTTTCAAATCCTGTACGGAAGAGACTTTGAAACACAACTCCAGCAACTACAACAACTACAGAAACTACAGCAACTACAACAACGACAACAACTACACAACTACAGCAACTACACAACTACAGAAACTACAGCAACCACAAGAACTACTGGAACTACAGCAACTACAAGAAGTACAATAACTACACAACTACAGCAACTACAACAACTACAGCAACCACAACAACTACAATAACTACACAACTACAGCAACTACAATAACTACACAACTACAGTAACTACGACAACTACAGCAACTACACAACTACAACAACTACAATAACTACACAACTACAGCAACTATTAACAACGGTAACTAACTGTAATCAGTGTAAGAGTACCGTATCTGTCACAACTTCGACATGTGGGGCCTTATATGTCTCAGGACATTATACGTAAGGCTTACATGACGTACCGACCCACAACTCTTTCTTCCACCATATTGCATTATGCGCCTGCAATGAGAAACTGACCTGCGGTAATAAAGTCCATTGTGTAATCAACGGGAAGTGTTCTTTTGCTTGGTGCTTTAGAAAATGGTTTGCTTTGATGCCATTTACAAATTTCGTATTTTTTCTTTGTCTTGCAAGGGTAAGCTCTTTTTAAAATTTATTTTAAAGCTTTATAAGGTGATATAATGAGCTGTACGTTGTATACAATGTATAAGAGCCAAGACATCTTCCAATATCACATAACGTAGAAAGAAATAGATCCCAGTTGTTCAAACGTTGGATAGCGCTGTCCACCGGATAAAAATCTATCCACTGGATAACGCAATTGGTTTCCCTAGTACTTATCCGCTGGATAGTGATTTATCCGGTGGATAGTACTTACCAACGTTTGAACAACCGGGGACGGAAAATTGGTTGCAGAGCCCCGTGTGCGGAGATGGGACAAATTTGTAGTTTACAACAAAAAGTTTTCATTATGAAGTGCACCTGAAGAGCACGCGTTACAACGGGCACTGGTAACAGGTATCTCCTATGTAGCTGCTAATCGGCTTTGCCCCATCTTTTTCTCAACGGTTTTTAAGCTCCTTGTATAAGTCTACAACGTGAAAAACTTTCTCTCGCATGGACTCTCGTTCTCCTCTCTCAACAAGGGCATCGAGCATATCTTCTTCCTCTATTACAGTCTTCTTGTTTAAAGAAAGCTTTCCACTCTTAGCGACCGATACGAGACGTGAAAAGTATGAAGTAACTTGTTGTGCGCTGAGCCAGTCTTTAGAAGAAAATCATTTTACGCCATCTGGTCCACGAAGTGACTTCAAGTTTGAGGCAACAACGGCAGGGTCGCTCTTATTTCCTGTCTCTTCTCTATCAAGAGACAATTTAAAGAGGTACTCTTTGACATGTTCTGAAAATTGCCCGGTCTTCTTGTTTTTCCTCAAGGCCCAGCCAGGCTCAGCAGTGGGGTACTCTCTGCACTATTCTTGACTCAATCCTCCAAGGTTCTTTTTAAATGGAATATAAGAAGGGCGTATGTTGGTGCATGCTTTAGCCCATTTACGCTTAATACTGTCATGCGTGGAATCCTTTTGGGTGCAAAAAATGTGCTTGCCAAAGTCCTGGTGGTTTTGCAACGCTGTTGTCGTTTTGAATAACTTGATGCAACCTGGTTGAAGGCAACTGAATTCACAAGTTCACTTTTGTTTTCCGTCGTTTTGCTGTTTTTGTACAAGAAGCCAGTCGACACGCGGGGATGTGAACGGCTCAATAACCTCTAATCGGGTAATTCCCTGGCCGGTCCGTCTCTTCATTAGCTTGTCGTAACGAACGAACTTTCCTTCTCCAACACTGAAGGCTTTCCACATCCTGATTCCGTCCACGCAAAACTTGAAGTTTGAAAACATCAGTACTCCGTTCAAGTTGTGATTATGCAGATCCTGTGCGCTAGTGTCCACCTTTAGAACAGATACACGGCAACCTCTAACTCCGGAGTAAGAATCTATTGCTTTCTTCATATCTTTTGCGTTCTCGACATCATTTCCTGCATTGACGTACTGACTTTTCAAAGGAGAAATATGGCGATCGCAAATATCTTTGCCACTGTTTGATTCAATGAAGTCGTATCGGCTTGCAGTTACACCTGTACGTAGACTAACACCAGGAATACTTAGCAATAAAAGAGTACAGTGATAACATGCAGCGTTATCACTACGTGCAAACGCCTCGACAATCTCAGGTGACTTCCTCTTTATTTCCATAAGCGTGTTCTCATAAATAGATGCAACAGCAAACCAGTTCTGGCTGCAGTGATCCAGGAGGTGAACGTATGTCCTTACCTATACATATGAACATAAGAAATAATGTTACACTATCGGCTCCATGACGTTAAATAAAGTACAACAGGAAAGCTCACTGACTTTCAAATACCTACTCTTTTGGTAATCCTGTCTGTTGTCCACTTATTGTTTCATCCACTGACTATAACTATGCCTCGTATCTTCCTGCACTTCATAGCTAAAGATTTCAAGGGATTATTTTCTCAGTAGAATGTGGACCTACCTCCATTGTCAATACCTAATTTATGGTCGCCTTTACCGTATTTTGCACAGCAGGTGACTGTGGATAACTCTACTGTTACTCAGGGAATAAGAAGAAAACTCAGCATTTCTTCTAATTAGGACACAAATTCGACTACTACAATATCTGAAACTGAAATGGTAATTTACGGAATATACCGTCAAACCTCCTGTAAACGGTCGCTCTCAAGAATTAACACAATGTCAACAAACAGGGATCTCTTCTGAGAAGAGATCCCTACAGATGTCCTTTTAAAAGATAAAATTTCGGCATGCAATTCCTACGTTTCGTATGAGTGTGGTTCCATGTTGTCACAAAAAAAGATTTGCGCATAATCCGGCTGAGCGGCGTAGTACATACAGGAACAGACAAAGCATCATGCAGTATTTTGGATATGCCCATAATCAGATGTAGGATTTGCCTGTAGAAAATGCCTCCAACTCTTCCTTCGGTTTTGTTATCACGGCTGTGACATGCCAAGAGAGGCCTTTCTTTCCAAACAACTCTCCTTGCGTTTCTCTATACTTCAAGGGAAGGAGTTTCATTACCCAATCCATTATAACTAAAGCTTGCTCTGGCGTCATATTGTTGAGGATATTATCCTTTGCTACGTCCTGGTGTATAGTCCAGGCATTTTGTCGTCGGACCTGAAACTAATTGCAAAAGAACCTTTCTCATCATTGACTAGGTAGAAATATCCCATTCATGAACATACTAAAAGTCCCCAAAGATCCAAGCATGGGAACACCTCCAAACAGGACTTTTAACATGAGTCCCTTTTTCCCGTAGCATGAAAACGAGGCTGTCAACCGGAAGTTGCTGTTTAGCTTTTGTTATTGATATAAATCGAGCCATTTCGCCAAAACTAAGAATATATTCTTAAGAAAAATTATTTTAAGGTTTTAATCGTGCAAGAAGTTCCCAAAACTGTATCATCTGAATAAGTAAAATATTAAGGATTTTTAGAATCTACGTACTCTCCAGCAGTGAGATCTGATTTTGCTGAAACATTACGAGACAAAATTGCTTAAGACTCGCGACAAAAAAGTCCTATATAATCACCAGAAAACCCCTTTTTAATTCAATTGTACATGTGCTATATACAAAATTTATTTTTAAATACGTTAGTCTTCCCAATCTTAACTTTCGTAGTCTACAGTGTTCGAAAAATTTGTGCACAGAGACCCTTTGCAGGCCGGGGAACACTGTATACCATTCAGCATTCTTGCGACAAATGCACCGCATACTGCTAGCCTACAGTTAGACTAACAATTGCATCTGATTAACTAAAGAAGCCATTCTGGGGCAGGCGGCAAGTCCGTTGCAACAGAAAATACTTGATCTCGAGCCTTACTTCACAAGCATATTGATAAAACAGTTTCTTCATGCTTCTCAAGTCTAGCTCAAATTAATCGTGTTAAGCACGTGTTTGACAGATCGACTTTAACCACAATAATTAACATGTTAGTGTTTAGTAAGTGGTTCTAATGCTCTTCCGTCTAGTCCAATGCAGCGGACACTAACCTAGCTTCTCAAGCTCCAAGCGATCTAGAACTTTGCAGCCCGGATTATCTGTGTTTCCAGAAAATCTGACCACGTTACTCCGCTTCCGAAAGAACTGCATTGGCTACCTATTATATCTTCGTGATGGCGTGCTTGCTTTTAAGTATGACTGGCTCCGCTCCTACTTACCTATCATCGACGTTTCTAACACAGAAGCTCCCAACTTCTGCATATACCCTTATTTAAAACCGTAAATCTGGACAAAGGACACTCTTTTACCGTATAGTATAAGTCTATGGAACAATTTAGATAATCTCCTCAAACTCTGTGACTCTGCTCGTAATTTAAAGCGTAAACTTAGAGCCGAATTATTTGCTGCTTTCCTATCTTATCGGTCTTAGTTTGTATCATATCTATTTTTAATTTTAATTCTAGTGAATATTTATTTACTTTTTAGCTTTCTTAATTTTTTCTAAAAAACACTTTATTATTGTAATTTTGTAATTTTTAGATTTACCGTACTCTCGTTTCAACGGTAGTGATTATCATTGTCACTGAAAAGCCCTCTCTTTAGGGAGTGTCAATTAAAGTTTGTATTGTATTGTATTGTATCTACCCTCGTAATTTAATTGAGACTGGTTGATTCATAAGAAAAACTTCCTTTTAGGTATAGTTAGGATACCTTCAATCCCGTAATTATCTTTTTTAAATCGAAACGCGAATGTGTATTGGAATTCCCAATGACTTTGTAATTTTCCGCTTGAACCGGAACTTTGGCATTGCAGGGCGCGCGCTTTATTTATTACTTCATAGGTCAGTAAAAACATTTCCTTTGGCCTTAGCGAAAATCTTCGCTAGTTTCATAAAATTTGATACGATTCCTACACTTTTTTCTTTACATTTTGAAGAAAAAAAAGATGAATTCACTAATAAACTAAGTTTTGTGACTTCCGAAAAAAGTAAGCGCGAAGCGATGAGTGAAGTACAGGTTTTTTCTCCGAGGTGAATGATCAGTTCATTTTGGAAGTCTCTACTAAAGACACTCAAGTCAAATATTTCTTTCTTGAATTATATTAACTTAGAACACGATATTACTTTTACTTTCACTTTAAAATTATCCTTTTAAAGTTCTAAATTCGCTTGCGGAAGACATAATTCCTCGCTAAATACTTCACTTAGATAGCTAACAATCGTGGATATTTTCTACAGGTTTTACGTGTTTTTTTTTTTTCTGATTTAAGAATCTTATACAGAACAGTTGTTTTATTTAATCGTTACATAAATGCATTTACTTAGGAAGAAAACACAATAAATTCTCTCAGTCTTTACTAGCCCATGCTGTACGGGGCTTCAAACTCGAGCAGTACAACAGGCAGTACATACAACCTCGTTTCCATGCTGCGCCGTTTTAGGGCCACATCATTTGCTTGTCTTTTCACGGTATATTTTTCCTGATCCTTTGTTTAATGATGTAAACGCGGCATTGTTTCCGAAGTTAAACAACTGTAGATTTCGGTCACCTGAGCCACCCATTTCCAGTTGCAAAAAGGGTGATTAAAATATGTCAATTAGAAAACTTACTCTTCATGATCAGGTAAAATTACTATGTATCTCCTCGTAATATCCTGTGAAGAAATTTTTTTACATGTGTAAAATGAAACGATTAACGATAAACTGAACAAGACAAAATCTGTTAGGGGGGGAAATCTGTCTTCTTTCTTTGGTTTTGACTGCAAGTTTAGGTTAGGTTTAGGTTTTTGGTTTTGAAAGAAGAAGACTATAGAACATGGTATCAATAATCGTTTACCTGAAGTGAAATGATTTCGTGTGCTCATGCACACAGAGATAATCTTCAGGGTCAGACAACGCAAATACCTGGCAATGATCAGCACACTGGCTTTCTTCAGAAACGCGGATCTTGAAGTTTGTCTTAAAGTAGCTTTTATCAGCTTTCAAGCGATCTTTAACACCTCGAACCTAGGCTGAACTTTTACGTTTAAAAAGGCACGCTAATGTTACCACTCTTTTTTTAATTACTACTTTTTAAAAAAAAGCCGCTCATATATGCTCAATTGCGTCTGAATCATGATTTTGTTTTGATACGTACCTAACCTTGACAGAATATTTGTCCTCTTATCATTGAGAAGCGATTTAGTACCTTTAGGGACTCTCTCTGTCGTATTTAAAGCCGCTATAAAATAAGTTTCAATGTCGGTGTATAAAAGCTGTTGTTTTGATTCTGATTTTTTCTTGAAGGTATTGTTTTCAGTGGAAGGCTCCGGTATAGAATCTTGTGTCAGCCCAACTGGCTATAAACGTAGTATGGGTGTTGTTATATTTCTATAATTACTTTGTTTAGAAGACTAGCTCGATTTACAGCTTAAGAAACAAACATGGCTGCTGTGAAAAGCACGAGGTTCAAACACTCTAAAGTTGACATCATGTAAAAGTCATGAAATGTGACGAAACGTTCATTAGCATAATATAACATGTCCCCTTTTAAGATGGTTTTAGAACCAAAATGTCAAAAGTGTTCATATGAAACTGAACCGAAAAAGTCTTTGTGGTCTCAAACAGTCCACAAATGTCTGGTAAAGTTAAACAGGATTATATAAAAAGTCTGGATTCCTGGTTGGCTTGATTAGACACCCAGAGCGTGATCTGGTTAGCATTGGTGTTATGTCTGCTTGTGTTCTGAGCTTTCCAACATCAGGATTGTTCTTTGGCGTTGCTGACTTCTGGCTGTTACTGGCAGGTGGTGATTTTGCCAAAGTAGTCGGTGTATCTGCTGATGGGCTTACTGGTTCTTGCCCTTCAGGAATTGCTGAGGCTGCATCATCATCCGGCACGTGAGCCGGGTATCTTACAGGTACCTGTGGCTTGGGTCGCTGCTGTGTGATAGTGATGTAGCGTGGCTTAATGTCATGTTTGTAACATCGGAGCCTTCTATTGTTCTTGTCATTGGTGATCCAATACGAGTCTGGTGTGATATCTTTGGACTCAATGTATCCTGGTTTCCACTCATCTGAACTGTCATCAGTGAACCAGAAAGGGCTGACTTGGCAAGTAGATATTGTTGTCCTGCTTCGAAGACTTCAGATGTGCTGAGCGCTTGTCGCTAAGGTGGGTCTTCTGCTGATCAGTTAGAGGTGCTGGTGTCATAGCCATGCATAGACGGGTGTTGATTCGCCTATTATGGAATAGTTCAGCAGGTGATGGTAGAGTGTGAGTCACAGGAGTGTCAAGGTAAGTTGTCAGAGCTTTGGTGATGTCGATGTCGCTGGGACTCTTCTTCAGGATCTGTTCGATTGTAGCAACTGCCCTTTCTGCTCTTCCATTGCTTTGATGGTAGCATGGGCTGGATGTTACGTGCACAATGTCAAGCTGGTCACAAAAGCGTCCGAAGTTGTTAGATCTAAAGCATGGGCCTCAGGCAGTCCAAACTTCCTGACGATATTGTTCAACACTTTTGTGACAATTTCTGTTGTCTCGCTCTCAAGGGTGTCATATGTGAGAAAGCCAGAGAAGTAATCAACTGTCACTTAGGCATGTTTACCTCGAAAGTCAACCAAATCTATGCCCAGGATTTCCATTGGACGTGTTGCTGAGATCTGTCTCTCTGGAGGTCTGGGCTTCTTGTTGCCATGCCTTTGGCATTCATCACACTTGTGAACCATGTCTGTGATGTCATCCTGTAGTTTTGGCCAATAGACAGTGCGTCTTGCACGTTGGAGCATTGAAGTGAGACCTTAGTGTGCGTCATGTAAGCGATTGAGGGTTGCAGGTCTCCTACTTGTAGGAATAACAACTCTGTTGCCTTTTATTATGAGTCCGTCAATAATTATCAATTCATCACGAAAACACCAGTATGGATGCAGATGCTCTGGTATATCCTGCACGCTATTGGGCCAACCAGTGAGGATTAGATCTGTAGGGTCAACCAAAGTGGGGTAGGCTTTTGTATCCTCTTGCAGGGATTCGAGTCGGGATGGTCCCACCTTCAGGACTTGTCGATGCTGATGTCTAAACCAGGGATTTCTCTGGCGCTGCCTAGTTCAACAAGACGAGAGAGTGTATCAGCCAGAAGCACACTCTTGGATCCAACGTACACCACTTGGATGTCGTATTTGGAGAGACGTAAGAACATCCTCTGCAATCTGGCTGGAGCGAGGCTTATTGGTTTCAAAAGGATGTTCTGAAGGGTTTGTGATCAGCGTGTACGGTGGTTTTCCGCCCAAAAGTGTATGTGGGCAGTTTCTCGCAGGCAAACAAGACTGCCAACAGTTCCCGTTCTATGTTAGAGCAGTTAGCTTCAGCAGGAGTAAGTGCTTTACTGAGAAAACGTACAGGTTTGCCGTCTTCGATAAGAACGGCAGCAAGGCCTTTCAGAGATGCATCGGTTTCAATAACGACTAACTTGTTGGGTTCATAGTGAGTGAGCTGAACAGAATTAGCAATGTCATTCTTGATGGTGTCCAGTTCCTTTTGCATATCGCTCGTCCATAAGAGATGCACGTCACGTTTTAGCAGGCTTCGCATCAGATGCGTTTTCTTGGTCCGGTTTGGAATAAATGCAGACATGAAATTCACTGTAACAAGGAGGCTTTGTAGCGCTTGCTTATCTTTAGGAGCAGCTAGCATTGCAATGCTCTTGACTTTCTTTGGACACGGTTTTACGCCCTGAGGAGTTGTTGATACGTCCAAAGTACTCAATTTCCTGTTTTTTGATGCAGCACTTATCTGGGTTAAATTTCAGCCCTGCTTTGCATGCTCGCTCAACCGTTTCCAACAGGTGAATGTCGTGACGTTCTTCTGTGGATCCTTGCACTTTAACATCATCTGCACAGGGAAATGTGCCAGGGACACCAGAAAGAACCTGATCCATTTCTTTACGGAAGATTTCAGATGACGCTGAGAGCCTAAAGGGTAAGCGCACAAAGCAGTATTTCTTAAAGGGTGTGTTAAATGCAGTGAGAAGTTTTTTTAGTCCAGTAGCCACTTTTTGCGTCAAGGGTGGAGAAGTACTGGCCATTTTTGAAACTGTGAAGAGCATCCTCCCACGAAGCAGTGTAGTGAACATTGCGGATCAGGTACTTGTTTAGGCTTCTTGGATCAAGACACAAGCGTAGAGATCCATCTTTCTTAACGACAGTTACCTTATTTTGTACCCATTCAGTCGTTTCTGGGCGGGGTCGGATGATTCCTTCTTGCTCCATCTTGTCCAGCTCCTTCTTAAGTTCTGGCATAATGCTTTGTGGTACAGCACGAGGGGGCAGCTGAACTGGTTTTGCATCAGGGGAGACCTTGCGGCTAGCCTCACCCTCAAAAAGACCCACTTGACCGTCAAAGGTTTTTGGGAATATTTGTCTCAAATCGTTTAGAGGGTCACCTGTTTTCCTCCCAAGAGGCAGATGTTCCTTCCACTTCGTTTTAAGCTTGTGATAATCAACTTCTGATTCATCAGTAATGTGAACGGCCTCTACTTGGTTGGGTTCCAAAGATACACTTTGAACTGTGTATACAGGAGAGATAGTCACAAGCTTAAATATTTTGCAAAATTCAAGACCGAGAATGAGAGCATAGTCATGTTTAGTGACGTAAAACTTGGCCTTCTTGGTGATCTCATTGCAAGTTACATTGACGCATACAGTTCCATAGTTCTGAAGATCTGCTTCTGACATACCACGAATGACAGCATCACTAGGTTTAAAGTCTCCCATTGACAGTCCAATTTGTGGAAGCATTGACATTGGTATACAGCTTACCATTGCACCAGTGTCCACCTTCCCTTTGAGGGTTGACTTGGCATTGCCTTTCAAGTTGAATGCTATTGAAGCATACACCTCACGTGATTCGTGGTTGTTTAGGGCATGAACTGAAACAGCATTCAAATAAAATTCATCATCATATTCACTACTGTCTTGTTCAGCTGAGAGATCGACAGCATGTTGGTGTTTGGATCCTTTGCCTTGTCCTTTTTCCTTAAGACATGCTCGTTCAAAGTTCCTTGCTTACTACAAAAGTTGTATGTTGCACCCCTTGCAGGGCACTTTTCACGGTGATGAACATTTCCTTGGCACCATACACAAGACTTCTTCTCATCAGGCTTTTAGCTGTTTTGATGTAACTTTGGTTTAATCTGTTTCTTCTTGAACCCATTTCTTCGTGACTTTTTAGTTGGGTCACGTGCATATGAGGCATCAACATGAGCATCACCAACGTCTTCTAGCTTTTTCATTGTGACTTCTACAGCTTCAAATTTTCTCATGATTTCAAGGCAGTCTTTGATTGTCACATCCTTTCCCTTTGCCATGAGTTGGCGTTTACATTCTCTGCTTTAAAAGCCATGAATAAGCTTATCCACAATAAGAAAGTGAGAGTTGTCGGGAAATTCGGCTTGACGATATATCTCCATGATTCGGGAAAAATAGGTTGTAGTATTTTCCCCACCTTTCTGATGAATGCCGTAAAATTCCTCTCGTTGTTCTCTAAAGTAAGTAGAATGCGTCAGACATGCAGCCAGTTGATCTAAGAGAGCAGTTGTTGTATTGATTCTCAGTTCAGAGTCCTCGTTAAGTCGTGCCTCAATCAGTGACTCTGCGTGAGCACCAGCCCACATGTAAATGTGATTAAAATTTCACTCTGTTAGAACGAGCTGCGAGGGGACCGCCAATAATTCGTTCCACCTCTTTACGCCATAACTTAAATTGCGAGGACGCATTGTTTGAAGTCCAGTCGACTTTGGTTTGTGGCATGTAGTGACCTTCCGCCATGCTGAAAATTACATAAAGCTTCTTTGCATACACGTAATTAACTAAAGTAATACGTAAAGTTCCTTTGATGCAATAAAATTAAGTCAAAGCCCGGCAACCACTGTTTACAACCACTCGCCTGAAGTGTTCGAAGAGATATTCCCTTAGAGCTTTGCAGAGTCTCTACTATGGATTGATGAATGTATGGTCTGTTCGGAGGAATAGTGCTGACGTCCGTCCCTCGATCGTGTGAAATCTTGCAGCTGTTAACGAGACGATCGTCACACGTAGAATTGCCTCAGAAGGTTTCTCATCACGTCGTGGTCGCCATGTTATATCACTGTAATTACTTTGTTTAGAGGACTAGCTGGACTTACAGCTTAAGAAACAAACATGGCTGCTGTGAAAAGCACGAGGTTCAAAAACTCTAAAGTTGACATCATGTCAAAGTCATGAAATGTAACGAAACGTTTATTAGCAATATAACAGGTAATAATAATAATAATATAATTCATTTATATAGCACTATTAATACAAATTATTCATAGCGCTTTACAATTTTAAACCTTATACTAACTATAAAATAGTTTTTACAATTTCATCCTACTATTTTAATTTCTACAATTATATATAATTAAAAAATAATTAATGATTACATCTTACACACTACAAAAAATAGAAAACAAAAGAAAATATATAATAGTATACAAAATAATAAAGCAAATGGCCATCTAATGATAGGCCATTTTAAAAAGCATTGTTTTCAGTCCTGATTTAAATGCTTGTATATTTGACGACATGCGCAACTGTAAAGGCAGTTCATTCCATAGCTTAGGAGCGCATACAGAAAATGCTCTATCGCCATAGGTAACAGTTCTGGATTTAGGAACACTAAGCAGATGTTGAGACTGAGATCTAAGATTGCGGGTATATTTAGGCTTATTAAGTAGCTCAGATATGTGTTCAGGAGATAAATCATTAAGTGCTTTGTAAGTCAGCAGTAGCACTTTAAACCGTATACGATAGGAAATAGGGAGCCAATGTAGTCTAACTAGAACGGGAGTTATATGATCATATTTACAAGTAAAAGTTATAATGCGAGCAGTATTTAGTACTGACTGAAGTCTGTCTATTTGGTATTTTGGAAGTCCGATAAGTAAAGCATTACAATAGTCCAGCTTTGATGAAACAAATGCATGGGCTAACGTCTCAGTAGAATTTTCATCTAGATATTTTCTGATCTTGCTAATATTTCTAAGATGGTAATGAGATGATTTGCATGATTTGCTTACATGTTCCCCGAAAGATGCTATGCTCTATACACTCACTACCAATCTGAACATTGCTGAGACAGGGTCTTGGACGGAATTTAGAGCTAAAACAATAAGTTCCGTTTTATTATCATTCAACTTTAAC